CAAACGAGACTTCTCACTTCAAATGTACTGAATTTTCTACATTCTTACCAATCGGAAGATCAGCTAAAAAGATCAGCTCATCGTCTATCCACATTCTTACCAATCCTGAAAGATCAGCTCAAAGTCTACTTTGTCTAGTCCACTGTCCTGGGTTCTGCATCGGGGTTACTGTGTGGTAACCAATGAGTGAATGAGTGAATATGACTGTGTACACATGTGCTTGCTTTCAAAAGATAGCTGACTTTGCCTCTACCATTGGAAAGACAAACTTACCCTCAGAATACCTACAATAGTGAAGACAGAGCCTGTCACATATGGTCTATTTGTCTCAAATTTGTAACACTCACCTGAGGTTTCTTCTTAATAATAGAAACATTTTACCTCATATCATTTCCTAGTTTGAAAGCAAGATGTCACCATATTACATCCATTTCAGAGGATCTTTACAAAGCCCAGGAACAATATTCTTTCACAAATACTTGGTAAGCTTCTCACCATAAACTATGATTCTGGTGATCAAGTATGAATAAATAATATTAAAACCTTGCTTTGAATAACTCACATCACATCACCTACCACAGATATCCTTCATATTCTTCCAAGTTGAAAAATCATTCAATGGATGAACTCCATTATAAAGAAAGTTTAAATGACAGTAAACTGAAAAAATATATTAAGCAGAATATATTAAGAGAATACTGTTTTAGCCATTTTCAAACTCCCAAATGCTAACATTATTACCATCTAGTAAAGATACTTACTATGCCTTACAAGGAAACATCACTTTTCTTCCACTGATGGTTTGACTACACTACTAGAGGCAAATTTTTTCTTCACATAATCACTTAGGATTATGGACTCCTGGAGGCGAAAAAGATCATGTAATATCCAAAGAAGTGATGTGACCAAGTCACATATCTGCTCACAAGGCCAAACTAGAACTCAGTCTCCGAACTACCAGGTCACTCTCCCACCACAGATCACAATGAAACAAGGTCACAATTAATTGATAAAATTTTTAAAAGCATGCCTTATACTATTTTATCAATATTAAATTTCCTAATTTGGATAACTGTGCTCTGGTTATATAAGAGAATATCCTTGTGCTTAGGAAAACCACGTTGTGAGGAATCTATGTTTAGGGGAAAAGGGGCTTGATTCCTCCAACTTAACTCTGATGCTTCAGAAGAAAATGTACTCATAAATACATTCAGAGAGAATGATGGAGCAAATGGAGCCAATTATTGGATTACACAGAAGTTTTTGAAACATTGCTGTAACTTTTACGTGTTTGTAACTATGTAAAAATGCTACATGAGCGTTGTGAGGAATCTGTGTTTAGGGGAAAAGGGGCTTGATTCCTCCAACTTAACTCTGATGCTTCAGAAGAAAATGTACTCATAAATACATTCAGAGAGAATGATGGAGCAAATGGAGCCAATTATTGGATTACATAGAAGTTTTTGAAACATTGCTGTAACTTTTACGTGTTTGTAACTATGTAAAAATGCTACATAATGAATAAACTGCATAATGTCATAAAATTAACATTTTACTTTTAACAAGACTTCAAATCTGTCATCTCTCGCAAACATCGAAATGAAGGGACAAACTATGAAGAAATGCTACCACAACCTTCATTTCCTTTGAATGAGGATATACACTTCTATCCTCAGGTTCCAGGGAAAGGTTCGAATTTGTGCACAAGCACTAAACATTTCAAGTAAGCCAGCTTCAAATTTCTTATAGCTCCAGGACCCCACAACCTACTTGCGCCCCAGCTTTATACGTTACTCTCTTCCAAGCTGATTCAAGTGGCCAGACGTGGACAGAAATTCATATGCTAAATGAATAACATTGACTCAAATAACTCAGCATCCATCTAGCTAATAACAATCTCTCTTCCCCTAGGACCACCACTATAGACCACTCTTTCACATACTGCAGTCAGATCCAGAGCCAGTTACATAATACTTTCAATAGCCCCAGTGCGGGGAAAAAAAAACTGGGGAGAACATTACAGCTCGGGCCAAAACAGCATTACTTTAGATAACCAAATTCACAAATGAAGAGACAAGATACAAAAGAAAGTTTATGGAAGACATCAGTTTTTTTAAAAAGGCAAAAGGAACAGCTGGAGAAGGTAGAGAAAAACCCAAAGATTCAAAAAATAAGATCTGGAACAAGGAAACAAAATGAAGTCTGACAAAACCAGAAGCCACTGAATTAAAGCAAACTTCTGCAAGCCTGCTTGGGGAAGGTGGCTGAGGGGAAATCGCAGCCTAAGTAAGTTTCTGCTTTGAAAGTGCTCACAGTTTATCAAGGACTAGGTCTTACATGGGTGAGGTGAAGCTGACAAGGTCCCCAGGGGGAAAAAGCAAAATACTGTCCTTGTAACATTTTGCAAGGATGCAGGAGTGGTGGGTATTGAGATGAGTTGGAACAACGCAGAAAATTTCATGGTCAGACTAGACTCGACATTTTGATAATTCTAAATGTACCATAAGTGTAATTTCCTTTAAAAGCATAAGAGGGACCACGAAATTGTTACAGGATGCTTTTTGTTCTAATGGGAAGTTCACATTCAGGTCTGAATTGGGACAGCCAAGTTCGTTTGTGTCTGGCAAAAAGTAAGTTTCAGATGTTGCTAAAAAGTAGCATCGGGTCCAAGGAAGTAAGAGCATGATTTGAAAGAGAAAGGACACAGGGCCCAAAGAGGAACAACAAATAAATCCTGACAGCTAAGAACTGCAACCCACGCGGCTCTCACGCAGAAAGGCCGCGGGAAGCTAAGGGGCAAGGGTTGGGCGGACTGCCAGAGCTGAATCGAGGTCACCGAGGAGAGAGCACAGAGAGCGAGCTGACGCTGTTGGATGAGGTAGGAGAGAGCAGCCTCTGCAGTTTCGTGCTGGGGGCAGAGCCGACTGGCACCTTTTACAGAGTCCGAGTGGCAGAAAAGCTACCTGCTGCGGCCAGGATGGGCGGACCAGGCGCTTAAAGGTCAAGGTCAAGGTGAGGTTTGGCACGTGAAGCAGAAATGCTCTCAGAAGAGACCGAAGATGTACAAAATAATACTACCATTATTTTTTTTAAAGAAAAGGGGGGAAAAAGGTCTCCTGGACTGCTTCGGAGCAAAAGCCGCCCTGGCAGAATCAAGTGCAAAATAGGCGGGGGGCCAGAGTCAGGGAGGGGAGCAAACCACGAGAGAGTCTCAGAACCGGGCCCAGGGCCACCGCCGCACTTACTTGCCCTCCTGGCAGTCATAAAGCACGATGGAGTCGTCATCGCTGCTCGAGATGACCGTCTCGCCGTTGGGGCTGAAGTCAAAGCAGTTAATCTTGTCCGAGTTCTCGCGAAACACCTTGGCGACGCGGAAGCTCCGCAGCACGCTGTCGGTCAGCTTCATGGCGGCGGCTGCTGGAGGCAGCGGCAGCGGAGCAGGGCCGGGGCGGGGCCCCG